TATATATACTATATGTATATATTTTTTTTCCTGGTCAGAAATTATATTATATTTAACTCATTAAACTTTTTCTTAAATCTTATAATTTATTATTATAAATCTTTTATTTTGTCATGTGAATTTTGTAGTTATTATCAGTATTTTTAGGAGGCTATAACTTAAAGTTCTGTATGATTTATACATTAATTTATTTAACCTCCTCCACTTAATGTACATATTTATTTATTATTTGGAAATAAATGAAACTGAAACTGAAACTGATATCCCACTTGAGATCACTCTGCAGATGTACGTCAAGAAGTCTAATGCTGTCTGCTTCCGCCTCAAGGATAACATTACCCATTTCCAAGGGTTCAAACAGTGGTAGGCCTACCTTGCGTAATAAATCATCAGGCTTGGTTTTCATAAAATCGTTAGACGCTATCGCCGATAGCTTTTGGTGATGCTGATTGGTTGGGTGTCTTCAGGGACTGATACGCAGTACAACGATTGCGCTGAAAACACTGAAGTACGGAAGCTTATTCCATGTTTCCAAGATAATTATCTTGGAAAGTCGGAAGGTCACTTTAAGCTACCGTACTGAAGCAACAGTAAATGTAGCGATTTTAATGAAACCAGACTTGTCTTGGAACTGGATTCGGGGTGGCATCATTGACAACACATCAACTAAAATCATTAGGATTTTTCTGTACCAATCATTTGTTAAAAGTTCCGTACTCTCGTGTTAATGTTTGTACTAATGGTATTTTTCGTCGTGTTGCACTTTCTTATAATAATCTAGTTCAAATTTTTCCTAATATTGATATTTTTAATTGTAATATTTCTATTTTTAATCTTATACTAAATACCGGTTTTTAATATATTATTACGATTTTTTCATGCTTTTTATGTTTAAAAAAAATTATATATTTTTATGAATGATATTGTATATTTTTATGGCGACTCTGTTATTGGTGTTTTTGATACACTGTTGGGTCTTGAATAAATAAATAAATAAATAAATAAGTATACACGTACACAACATAGGTTTATGTCATTGACACTGGATACGGGCAAGAGCATTTTAAACTACGAGCTGGCTTATTACAAGACGTATAAATAATAAAGTTTAAATATTCTTTTGTATACATTGGCGGGTACCGGTGTTATTAATCTTTAAGTAGTGTTGTATGTTCCATTGGAAGAAAACTTACTTGGTCCTTTTAAATAAGCTATATAATTATTTATATTCTTGAAGCTGCTGAGGCTGATGATGATGAAGTCGAAGACGACGACGACGACGAAGATGATGATCACGGCGATGACGATGACAAAATGATGACGATCAAGACGACGACAATGATAATAATAATAATAATTAATAATGATGACGACGACGATGATGATGATGGCGATGATGATGAAAATTACGATAAATCATAATGATGATGGTAGTTGTGATAATGGGGGTGTTGGACATGAAGATGGTAAAAATATTAATAGGCCTAATAGTTATTAAGATAACATTGATGATGATGGTATACTTTTTATAATAAAATATAATTATTATTCAATTATACCTTAATTTAAAAATTTTAAAAATATGTTACATCATTACAGAAGTACATCTTACATTTAGGTAAATATATATCGGTATTAATATGCCTAATAATGTTCAAATATGCCTTTTTCAAATACAAAATGGCAATTGTTTGAAATGTTTCAACTATGCATCCTAGGATATACCGAGATATATCATAAACCCATTTATGTCATCCATGTTGTTAAAATCAGGCACAAATGAATTTATCTGGGACATCCCGCTAAAAGGTATTGATATCAATAATAAATGATAAGGTTTGTGATATTTTATTGCTTTTAATAATGATAATGACGATGTTGGTGATAATGGTCATAAGGCCAGAAAAATGAATGTCTTGCCCAACACTGCGACGTTTAAAAATCAGGGGCTTCCAGCACTTAATTTTTTGCTTTAACTCGATGCTTAGGTCAAGGGTTCATTGCTAACAATAACGCTGGTGGAGTATTTACAGTGTGCACGGCCCCCAAACAGAACAGTTGGGCCTATTTGGTATTCCTCCTGGTAAAAAGGATATATTTTTTCAAAAATAAGACCCTAAGTTTTTGTGATTTGCAATGCAGACTTGGGTAAGACATTACCTGATGGTTATGATCAGTGTCGGACCGGAGATACAAATTATAATTTATAAAATTACAACATTAACGGGTAATGCTTCTGCCCACGTGCTTCTTATTTTTAATTAAATGACCAATACATATGTATTAGCGGTGGTTATGATGTGCTTTTACTGGCAATGATGATGACACAGATACAGATACATTATAGTCTTTATTTCACCCTTTTCATCGGAAATTACATGGCCGAAAAGATGTTTCTCGTTCTCAAAGACATTACACGAATATTTTTTTTTATAAATAGGCCTACAATTTTAATTTTAATTTAAATAATTTTATAATTCGAGTGCGTATCTTTGATGATTTTCATTAAAGTTTCTGATTATCTCTACAAATAAACGAATCTCGATAGCGGTCCGTGCTAGCCCTCGTCAATATGATGAAGACGACAATAATGATGATGATGATGATGAAGACGACGATAAATTATAATGACGGTGGTGGTAGTGGTGGTGATGATGGTGGTGATGGAATTAAAGATGATATAAATGACGGATAAGATAATATTGATGATGATATAATTGCTAAAATTACAATTCTACAAAAAAAAAATCCATGAGTACAATATTCGGTCAAATTTAGTTTATTCACTCATACATTTTTATAAAATTTTCAAAATGTTTTACATTATGACAAAACTATTATCATAAAGCATTATCGGTTACGTGATAGTCATCAACATTTATGTAAATATGTTCGAATAGGCCTATCCGAAGAATAATATTCAAATGTGACAAAATATCAATTGTTCGAAATGTTTAATTTTTCTGTAGGGATAGAAAAGACTAATGTTATAGGCCTATTTTTTTTCTGGAGAGGCTCGTTTACATAGCAGAAATGTGCTATCTTCATTGCGATAGAAAAAATACTATGAATTAACCTACGCGTACCCCCTGTCTATCCAAAGATTCGTACAGATTTCTCAACAACTCATCAATGTCCATGTTGTTAACATCGGGAACAAATGACTTTGTCTTGGACATGCCGTTCAGCCAAGGAATTTTAGTTACAAGTCCTTGGTTCCGCTGCCGCAGCCTCAGTGCATCCATAGACTCTTGGAGATGTTTCATCGACTCTTCTTCTTCTTTCTTAAGCTCCTCATCGGCCTCTACATATTTCTGCCAGTCATCATCTTTGAAGCTTGGTTTAGGGAGGGGCATGAGGCCATTATTAAGTCCTTGTATATTCATATCAGCTATCATTTTATTAAGGTCTTCCGTAACCTTGTCTCCGTCATCAAGATGCAAGTCAATATTTGTAATGCTTGAAATATCGGGTAGCTTGAGGTCGTTGTTAGAGAATTCGCTGTTGTATTCCTCGGCGGCTATTGACCAAAAATTGAAGCTGTCATAAATGCTGTTGCCTGCGTCCCATTCTTGTTTCGTCAAAGGAAGTGCAGATGATACGACCACAGCCGTCAAGAAGACCACCAATATAATCATTCTGTTAAAAAGAAAAATGTTGAAATTACTATTAAACATACAATAAATTTAAACTGCTATAACGTTTGGTATTCGAATTCTTTGGGAAATAATATAGAAAGCTTCCTATGACATGAGCATTAATTAGGAAATATGTAAAACAAGAAGTGGCGAAGTTGACGTCCCTTAAAGATATTTTTTTTATCGAATTTGATTTTAAACTTATAATAAAAATTGAAACATATTTTAAAGATTTGTAGGAAAATTATCCCTCAACAAACTAACAGATTTAAATATTTTTATTTCATATTTCTCACTAGGTCTATGACTATTCATTATGGCCTTCCAGATACTGTATTAAAACAAATATCATCTGTCTGCCATTTTAATGTGAATTCAACCCCAAAATAAAGTTTTAAATTAGCTTATTCGAAGTCATCACGAATGAAATAATTAGGCCTAAAAGTTTCACTTCAGTCGGCCTATGGTCTATACACAGTTAAGGGGTTCATTGTGTTCAGTAGGCTACTTAATAATATAAGGCCTCTGTACAAAAGATTAAAAAGCACGGTACGATTCACCTCAAAGAAGTAACGAGAGTTTTTTTTATCGACTTTGATTAAACTTCTATATGACCATTCACTATAGTTTACAGATAGCATCAGCCAAACTTTAAATTTACAATGTGATGTCAACCCTAAAATAAGTTGGAAATTAGCTTATACAAAATCATTCCGAATGAAATTAGTAGGCCTAAAAGTTTCACTTCAGTGGCCCTATGGGGAAGTCCACTGTGTTCAGTAACTAATAATATTAGGCCTCTGTACAAAAGAGTAAAAAGTATGGGACGATTCACCTCTAAGAAGTATTACAATAAATGTGTAACTTACGTTTTTGGAAGCTGGAATAAATTAAATGTAATGGAAGCTAACTTGGACGTCTGAAAATTCTGGAATAAGCAGAAGGAAGAGACAGCGTTACCAATGCTCTTCAAAACTTATCAGTTTCTGCAGGTTCAACAGGCCTACTTCTTGCCCACTAGGAAGCGCATTAAATAGACTGAGTTTTCAAGGTTCTAATAATTCCGGCCAATGAGATGTAAGCGTTCTCAAGCGTCGAATAATTCCCACCAATGAGATTTAAGGGGAATAACATCATTGATATCTGATACTGCATGTCTCCGAAAACCCAGGCCAGAACCGGATGTGTGGTAACATCAATACTTTAATGTTAATAACATCGAGTTTAACTGGTAAATTTCCGTTTACTTGAATTAAACAATATCGTCCTTTTTACATTGTATTTACTATGTTCATTCATGAGTAAAGAAAGTTTAACCGAGATGATTATATAATTATGTATATTATTTTGAGACAGATACAGAACTTTGTTTGACTTCATATTTTATACACACACACGCACACCCCACACACTAAAATTTATTCCAACAAATATTTCGACTGCTCCTGATGACGTTATAATTGTATCAACCATAGCCCTTCAACGAAAAGTTTCTTTATTTTAATTGGATGAAAAAAGGTGTGTGGCACTGGTGAGATTCGAACTTGCAACCTCTCGCTATCAAGGCGAGTATATAACATTAGGCTGAGTAAAGGAACTTTTCGTTGAGAGTTTATCTCTTCACGTGTTACATTTTTTTTTTACGCAGGGATTCGTCATGTTGTCAACATGACGAAAGCTTGTGTAAGTTAACGTCAAACTTTAAGGTTTAAGCGCGATGACATCAATGATATATATCCATACCTCCTCTCTCGGAAAACCCAGGGAAGCATCGGAAGTGTAGCAACATAAGGAATAACATCCAGCGAATAATAGTTTAAAGGTAAATTCCAGTTTACTAGAATTTAGATTATAGCGTTCTTTTTACCATTTATTTATTCTGTTCATGAAAGAATGTTTAAACCGAGATTAACATATTAAAATAAAACGGATATTTCGACAAGGATTCCATACTGTGGGTTGAATATTGTAATAGAGAGCTTAAATATAAATTATAGATTGTGATCATATCTTGACTTGATTAGTTAAATTTTAACATAAATTATTTTCCGTTTTCTCTCTGAACAATGGTTACATGTGATTCCCACTTAAGCTTATTACCAATTAAAACACCAAGTATTTGAAGAACATCTACCTCACTTCCATTAATAGTCATTAGTCGCATGGGCGGATCCAGAAACAATGGAGAGTCCAATTTTAAGGATAGACGCATAATCTGTGCAAGTCGCAAAGCTCTAAACTTATAACCCATAGTCCGAGAGGAGGATTTGTGAGAGGCGTACCTTAGCGCCCGGATCAACCAAAAATGTTTTTAAAGACAAAATATGTAAAATGATATCAATGGCTGGTCAAGAAATTTAAAATAGAAGGGTGGGTCTATATTACTCAAATGGTTAGGGCTGTGGTAAGAACATTATGATTATGGCACCTCTTGGCTGAAAATTTGAATATTTTATCTCCATTTTATTAGACTTACGCTGAGGAAGCATTTGTCAGAAATATTCGTCTTGAATAAATTTTATGTCTCTATTATATCTACGTATGCAATCTGTCTCTTATACACATCTAGATGTGTATAAGAGACAGATATATATATATATATATACGGTATATATTAATTTGTTTCTTTTTAAAGATCATAATCTATTATTATTGTTCTTTAAGTTTGTTATGAGAATTTTGTATTTATGTTTTAGTATTTCTCATGTATAATTTATACATGAACTTATTATCTGCCTCCACTTAATATATATTATGTTATTTGAAAATAAATGAAACTGAAACTGATTTCTGTAGATGTGCTCAAAAAACTTAAATGCTTTGTGCTTCCGCCTTAAGGCTAACATTGCCCATTGTATATGGGTTCAAACGGTAGTACCTAAGAAATTAATACGCATATGAAGCTTGGTTTCAATACAATCGCTAGACATTATTATATCGCCGACAGCTTTCGGTGATGCTGATTGGTCGGTCGAATCGGAGAGTCTTCCCAATTGCGTTCGGGACTGTTAGGCATTAAAACGATTGCACTGAAAACACTGTAGCGGCAGTGTAGTGATTTTAAAGAAACCAGGCTTGTCTTGGAACTTGTCTGGATTCGGGGTGGCATCGTTGGCAACAAACCAACTAAGATCATGAAGATTTTCCTGTACACACGTACACAACATATGTTTATGTCGTTGACATTGATACCGGCATGCGCATTTTAAGGAATTGGCTTATTACCAGACGTAATAAAGTTTCAATATTCTTTCGTATAGCCTATATTGGCGGGTACTATTGTTATTGATTTTTGTAATTAAAACGTTTGTAAATCAAAGAAAATTAGTTTTGCTAGATGTTCCATTGGACGTTAAAACTTACTTGGTCCTTTTTAATAAGCTATACAATTCTTAAGGTTTTCCTGATTTTGCAGACTATTGGCCTATTATTATCTCCAGGTATTGATATTAATTACAATGATAATGCTGAATCGTTAATGATGACCGTTATGATATAAACCTATAGGCCTATTGATTTTAGTAATGATATTGACAATGTTGGTAGTAATAATAAGGCAAAAAAGTGTTTAGCCCAACTGTGACATTTAAACAAAATCAGTGACTGTTAACATTTTACGTTTCTTTTTTTAAACTCGATTCTTAGACCTAAGGTACGTTGCTAACCATCACGCCAATAGAGTATCTAAGGGGTGCGCGGAAAAGCTGGGAAAAGTAACCTCTTCACACGTAAGAGGTTTTTTGTGGTCCTCCTAGTGAAATAGGATATAGGCCTATTTTTGCAAGCAAAAATAAACCCAAAATTTCTAATTTTAAGTGGACTTGGGTAACAAATTGTTTACCTTCTATGGTGATGATAATGTACTTGTAATAATATTAATGATGGCAGTGGATAGCAGTGGTTATGGTGTGTTTCATTTACCGTACTGATAATAATGATACCGAAAGGTCCACTGATTAATCTCAGATAAGATAGTATAATACATACGGTACTCCAAGTATTGAAATGTGTCGGGATTCAATATTTCGACAGTAATTATGTCATTATCCGGAATGATGATGACATAAATAATGTCGAAATATTGAATCCCGACACGATGGCGTGCATTTCTGCGAGTCACCATTTTCAAGTCTTGGGCTAGCTGATGACATGAGGCCGTTATTATACTTTGTCTGGGGCACGCCGCCGTTCAGCCCAGTCTTGACCCATCATATCGGCTCTCATTTTAATAAAGTGTTCTACATTCCTGATTTCCTCACCGAACTAAAGACCTTTCTGTCAATCAGCATATGTGATCCTTTGCGCGCATGTACTTGGAGTATACATTATACTATCTTGATAATGATGATATATTTGGATATATTTATTTATTTATTAATTATTGTTTGTTAAGTGTCACCCTTGGCGGCGGAGAAAATTTATACAGCAATTAAGGTTGCTTTTGTTTAATCCTGTCTCTGTCAAGGGTGTTTCGTTTTGTTTTTGTTGTATAATGTTTTTAAAATTGGACGAAATAAATGAAATGAAATGATGCTGTTGCTAATAATAAATTGATGATGATGAAGACGACGACAGCGCGGACGATGATGATGATGATGGCGATGACGATGAAGATGAAGATGACAATAAATTATAATGATTTTTGTTGTTTGGTGGTGATGATGGTGGAGATAGAATGAAAGATGATAAAAATGACTGGTTTTAAGATAATTCTACAAAATAATTCCATGAGTGCAATATTTGATTAAATCTAATTTATTCACTGATACCCCTATTATAAAATTTTCCAATATTCTACATCATTACAAAACAATATCATACAAGATAATGCATTATCAATTACGAGATAGCACATGGTAACATCAAAATTTAAGAACTGTATGTTCGAATATCCCTACAATAATGTTAAAAAAAATATGCTTTTTTCAATGACAAAAGAAAAAAAAACAATTGTTCGAAATGTGTAATTTTACTGTATGAGTATAGTTGGAATTATGCTAAGTTTTTTTTAAATTTTTGTTTATTTTATTTGCTTTTTAAAGAGACTGGTTTATATGGTAGATAGTTGCGATCTTCATTTTAATTAACCCCACAAAGCACCTCGGTGGAACGTCGGGCGACCCCACAAAGCCCCTCGGTGGAACTTCGGGCGATATATTTTTTTCAACACATATTCTTCTTTTTTAATCTCTTCATCGTCCTCGGCATCGGCCTCAGCATATTTCTGCGAGTCACCATCTTCAGGTCTTGGGCTAGCGGATGACGTCATGAGGTCGTTATTATACTTTGTCTGGGGCATACCGTTCAGCCAAGGACTTTTAGTTAAACTTCCCTGGTTCAGCGTCAAGTGACCCATCATATCGGCTCTCATTTTAATAAGATCTTTTAAATTCCTAATCTCCTCACCGGCCTCAATATCTTTCTGCCAATCAACATATGTGATACTTTGTTCAACTGATGGCACGAGTTCATTATTAGAGAATTTCCCTTCCATGACTTTATCAAAATCTTGTCCGTTGTTTATCTCTTCACCGGCATTAAGATACCTCTGCCAGTCAACATCTTCAAAGGCCTGTCCGGCTGATGGCACGAGTCCATTATTAGAGAATTCTTCCTTGACTTTTGCAGCTATTTCATTTGGATCAAGTCCTGTGTGTTGGTCGACAATTTTTTGCCAATAAGCAGATTCTTGTTTCGTCAAAGGAAGTGCGGACGACACGATGATTGCCGTGAAGAACACCACCAATGGAATCATTCTGCTAAAAAGAAAAAAAACCCAATTATATTATATTTATAATTAATTCACTGTATTCAAATTAAGGAATTCACATAAAAAAAAATTAACAATTAAATATAAAAACAAATATATAAATAAAAAAAAAATAAAAAAAATGTAAAAGTGGAGCAACCTCATTGTTCAAAGAGAGGGGAGCAGCCAGTGCCAACGCTAGGGAGATGGGTGGTGGTTGGGGGGGGGGGATTATAAGATATTGAGTAATTGAATGTAATATGGTATGGGACTATCAGAAAATAATGTTAAAAAACATTTTAATATTGCAATGTACTTTTATTTGCTTTGAAATATTTGTCATGTCTTTTGAAGATGAATAATAAAAAAAAAATTTGGTTTTGCATTTTAGCTGTTAATAATTTCTTCCATTACATAAACATAAATATAATTGAACTGCAATATTGTTTTCTATTCGAATGAAAAGCTTCATGTGAAATTATCATTCATTGAGAAATATAGAAAGTAAGGAGTGGCGAAGTTTACGTCACCCTAAGATTCTGTTATCGAATTTGATTAAACTTCTTTTAAAAGTTTATCGAAGGATTGTTTAAGTAGAACAAGAAAATATATTCCTCAACAAATTAAAGTATTTAATTTTTGATTTAACTTTTCCAATTTCTATTTATTATGGTTTTTCTGAACAGATAGCGCCGACGATTTCATTTTACAATAATATGAATCCAATGCCAAAATGAGTTCGAATTAATTAGCTTATACAAATTCATCTCGAATAAACTAAGTAAGCCTGAAAGTTTCATTTCAGTTTGGTCTATATGCCTACATAGTTAAGAAGCTCATTTTGTTCAGTACCTAATAATATAAGGCCTCTGTACAAAAGATTTAAAAGCACGGGACGATTCAACCATAAGAAGTAACGGAAGTTCCCTACACAAAGTTTATGTCCCCCCTAAAATTTTGTTATCGAATTTGATTTAACTTCTATGACTATTCATTATGGTTTTCTAGATATTGGAACAGATAACATCGGTCTCATTTTACCATGTGAAATCAACCCCAAAATAAGTTGCAAATTAGCTATACAAAATAATCCCGGAATGAAATAAGTAGGCCTAAAAGTATCACTTCAGTAGGCCTATGATACACAGTTAAACAATTCATTGTGTTCAGACCTAAAAATATAAGACCTCTGTACAAAAGATTAAAAAGCACGGGACAATTCGCCAGTAAGAAGTACTAAAATAAATATGTAACTTACGTCCTTGGAAGCTAGAATAAGTATGAAAATGTAATAAAAGCTGACGTGGACGTCTGAAAATTGTGGAATAAGCAGCAGAAAGAGGCGCCGTTACCAATGCTTTCCTTAACTTACAAGTTTTTGCAGGTTCAATAGGCCTACTTCTTGCCCACTAGGAAGCGCATTAAATAGGCTGAGTTTTCAAGGTTCTGATAATTCCGACCAATGAGATTTAAGCATTCTCAAGCGTCTGATAATTCCCACCAATAAAATTTAAGGGGAATAACATCATTGATATCTGACACAGAATGTCTCCGCAAACCAATCTAAGCATCGGAAGACCTTCAAACGAAAAGTTTTTTATTTAAGTTCTATGAAAAACAGTGTGTTTGGTGGAATTCGAACTCGCAACCTCTCGCTATCAAGGCGAGGATCATAACATTGGGCTGAGTAAAGGAACTTTTCGTTGAGAGTCTCTTCACGTGTTACATTTCTTACGCAGACATTCCTAATGTCATCAACATGACGAAAGCTCTGACATCATTGATATATATCCGATATTTCTTCTCTCCGAAAACCCAGGCAAGCATCGGATATGTGGTAACATAAAAAAGGTTAATAACATCTAGGGAAGGAATAGTTGTTTAACGGTAAATTCCAGTTTTACTTTATAAAATTTATACTGTATTTGATTATCTTGTAGAGTAATTTATCTATCGTGAACTTTTTATTTGATTTGATTTTTTTGTTTGTATTTTCTTCTGGCAAAGTCATGTGCAATATTATTTGGAAATTCTCATGTTAATTTGTATGTTTTTCGTCGTATTTATACTAGTATACTGATGATGACGACAATGACGACGACGACGATGACGATGATGACGACGACGATGAAGAAGATGACGATAAATGATGATGATGATGATGGTAGTTGTGATGATGATGTGATTGAACTGAAAGTCAGGTAGAACTGATTTTTCTAAGACAGACAAAAAGTAGTTTGATCAAAAACAGAGCAACGGTGGATGAGATACAGATTTTTGAATATTTAAAAACTGGGGGTAAAATGTGTAAAAATGGGTGGTTACGCCCAGGTTTTAAGAAAATATTGATAATTGCTGAATTACAATTCTAAACAAAATTTAATGTTTGTACATATTAATTAATCAAATCAAATCAAATTTTTTACATAATAATTGTAACTAATTAAAATAATAATAATATTGACTATTTTAATTGATCTTAATAATGATAATGACTTATTGTAAATTTAATTCAGGTATTCATTTTTTAATTAGACCACGAAGGCTTCATGGTTGAACAGGTCCAAATACCCGTCGGGAACATTGTATTACACACTGCTATGCCTAAAGAGGGCATTCGGCCAGATAAATCTGGAAATACGGCTAGAAATATTGTCGTATATTATATATGATATTGAAGGAAGTTAGCCGTTAACACTGTTGAATATATTATATAATATACGACAGTATTTCTAGCCGTATTTCCAGAGTTGCCTTGCCTTGTCCGCGAGAGCTCGCAGGTTCAAATCCCGTCGGAGGCATTTTATTACACAAGGATTTTTCATAGGACTTTATTCGTTGAAAAGCTACAGGGTAGCCTACGATGTTCCATCATGTCCTTATTAAACACTGTATATGTACCTTTGATGATTTATATTATATTTATTCCATAGTGTTAACGGCTAACTTTCTTCAATATCATATATAATATACGACAGTATTTCTAGACGTATTTCCAGATTTATCTGGCCGAACGCCCTCTTGAGGCATAGCATTGTGTAATACAATGTTCCCGACGGGTATTTGGACTTGGTTTGGAATTGGCTTATTACCAGACATAATCAAGTTTCAATACTCTTTCGTATAGCCTATATTGGCGGGTACTATTGTTATTAATTTTTGTAATTAAAACGTTTGTAAATCAAAGAAAATTAGTTTTGCTAGATGTTCCATTAGACGTTAAAATTACTTGGTCCTTTTTAATAAGCTATACAGTTCTTAAGGTTTTCCTGATTTTGCAGACTATTGGCCTATTATTATCTCCAGGTATTGATATTAATTACAATAATGATGCTGACTCGTTAATGACGAGCTTTATGATGTAGGCCTATGTTGATTTTAGTAATGATACTGACAATGTTGATAGTAATAATAAGGCAAAAAATGAGTGTTCAACCCAAGCACTGATATTTCAACAAAATCAGGGGCTGCTAACATTTTATTTTTCTTTTCTTAAACTCGATTCTTAGACCTAAGGTACGTTGCTAACCATCACGCCAATAGAGTATCTAAGGAGTGCGCGGAAAAGCTGGGAAAAGCCTCTTCACACGTAAGAGGTTTTGTGGTCCTCCTATAGTGAAATAGGATTGGCCTGTTTTTGCAAAAATAAACCCTAAATTTCTAATTTAAGTGGATTTGGGTAACACATTGTTTACCTTCTATGGTGATGATAATGTACTTGTAATAATATTAATGATAGCAGTGGATAAAGTGGTTGGTGTATTTAATTTACCGTACTGATAATGATGATACCGAAAGGTCCACTAATTAATCTCAGATAAGATAGTATAATAGGATACTCCAAGTATCGAAAATGTACACCATTGTGTCGGGATTTAACATTTCGACATTAATTATGTCATCATCAGGTGATGATGACATAATGTCAAAATATTGAATCCCGACACGATGGTGTGCATTTCCGCGAGTCACCATCTTCAGGTCTTGGGCTAGCGGATGACGTCATGAGGTCGTTATTATGGTTAAACTTCCCTGGTTCATATCGGCTCTCATTTTAATAAAGTCTTCTACATTCCTGATCTCCTCACCGAACTAAAGACCTTTCTGCCAATCAGCATAGTGATCCTTTGCGTGCATGTACTTGGAGCATGCATTATACTATCTTGATAATGATGATATATTTGGATATATTATTTATTTATTAATTATTGTTTGTTAAGTGTCACCCTTGGCGGCGAAGAAAATTTGTACAGCAATTAAGTTTGCTTTTGTTTAATCCTGTCTCTGTCAGGTGTTTCGTTTTGTTTATGTTTTTGTTGTATAATGTTTTTAAAATTGGACGAAATAAATGAAATGAAATGATGATGTTGCTAATGATAAATTGATGATGATGAAGACGACGACAGCGCGGACGATGATGATGATGATGGCGATGACGATGAAGATGAAGATGACAATAAATTGTAATGATCTTTGTTGTTTGGTGGTGATGATGGTGGAGATAGAATGAAAGATGATAAAAATGACTGGTTTTAAGATAATTCTACAAAATTATTCCATGAGTGCAATATTTGATTAAATCTAATTTATTCACTGATACCACTATTATAAAATTTTCCAATATTCTACATCATTACCAAACAATATCATATACAAGATAATGCATTATCAATTACGAGATAGACATGGTAACATCAAAATTTAAGAAATGTATATTCGAATATCCCTACAATAATGTTAAAAAAAATATGCCTTTTTCAATGACAAAAGAAAAAAAACAAACAAATGCAGTGTTCGAAATATGTAATTTTACTGTATGAGTATAGCTGGAATTATGCTATGTTTTTTTAATTTTTTGTTTATTTTATTTATTTTTTAAAGAGACTAGTTTATATGGTAGAAATTTGCGATCTTCATTGCGATAGAGAAATTAATTTTTTTTTAAAAACCCTCGGAAGATCTTCCAGCGACCCCACAAAGCCCCTCGGTGGAACTTCGGGCGATATATTTTTTTCAACACATATTTTTCTTTCTTAATCTCTTCTTCGTCATCGACATCGGCCTCAGCATATTTCTGCGAGTCACCATCTTCAAGTCTTGGGCTAGCCGATGACATGAGATCGTTATTATACTTTGTCTGGGGCATACCGTTCAGCCAAGGACTTTTAGTTGAACTTCCCTGGTTCAGCGTCAAGACTTGACCCATCATATCGGCTCTCATTTTAATAAGATCTTTTAAATTCCTAATCTCCTCACCGGCCTCAATATCTTTCTGCCAATCAACATATGTAATATTTTGTTCAACTGACGACAAGAGTTCATTATTAGAGAATTTCCCTTTCATGACTTTATCAAAATCTTTTCCGTTGTTTATCTCTTCGCCGGCCTTAAGATACTTCTGCCAGTCAACATCTTCAAAGGTCTGTCCGGCTGATGGCACGAGTCCATTATTAGAGAATTCTTCCTTGTCTTTTGCGGCTATTTTATTTGGATCAAGTCCTGTGTATTGGCCGACAATTTTTTGCCAATTAGCAGGTTCTTGTTTCGTCAAAGGAAGTGCGGACGACACGATGATTGCCGTGAAGAACACCACCAATGGAATCATTCTGCTGAAAAGAAAAAAAAAACAAAAAAAAAACAATTATATTATATTATATTTATAATTTACTGTATTCAAATTCAGAAATTCACATAAAAAAATCCATTAACAATTAAATATAAAAACAAATATATAAATTAAAAAAAAAAAACAAGACAAAAAGGTAAAAGTGGAGCAACCTCATTGTTTAAAGGGAGGGGAGCAGCCAGTGCCAACGCTAGGGAGATGGATGGTGGTGGGGGGGGGGAATTATGCGATATTGAGTAATTGAATGTAATATGGTATGGGACTATCAGAAAATAATGTTAAAAAACACTTTAATATTGCAATGTACTTTTATTTGCTTTGAAATCTTTGTCATGTCTTTTGAAGATGAATAAAAAAAATTTGGTTTTGCATTTTAGCTGGAATAATTTCTTCCATTACATAAACATAAATATAATTGAACTGCAATATTGTTTGCTATTCGAATGAAAAGCTTCATGTGAAATGAACATTCATTGAGAAATATGGAAAGTAAGGAGTGGCGAAGTTTACGTCACCTTAAGATTCCTGTCTCTTATACACATCTAGATGTGTATAAGAGACAGATACAAGATAATGCATTATCAATTACGAGATAGACATGGTAACATCAAAATTTAAGAAATGTATATTCGAATATCCCTACAATAATGTTAAAAAAAATATGCCTTTTTCAATGACAAAAGAAAAAAAACAAACAAATGCAGTGTTCGAAATATGTCCGAGAGCACAATATTCGATAAAATATAATTCATTCACTTATACTTATTAAAATTTTAAATACTTTACATCAATATAATGCATTATCGGTTGCGCGATGCACATGTATCATCGATTTTGTTACCTGTTTATCGACTATGTATAATGGTTTTGTTAATACTTGTCCCGATTTGATATCTATTTAATTACGCTTATTTCAAAGCCTACAGACACAATGCAAAACCGAGGTCCTCAATAAACATCTGGGATTTGAAGCTCTCGGTCTGAAAAAATGTAACAGCATCGATCATTCATGTCTCGATCTCAAGAAGTGAATATCAATCCAATGTTTTAGGTTAGTTACTGCTTTTTAGCTGCCCCTGAACAGAATATATTATTGTTACTTGTACAGTTATTCATGTGAATTGCCAACACAGAAAGTGTGGATGGGTTATGAGTTATTCTTTTCAGATTAAAGACATCTTATAAAAGCCTGTGAGTGGCGATTAACTTTCGCTCTTGGTCAGAAATGAATAAATAAATATAAATATGATGATAAAATAATGATGATGATGAAGACGACGACGATGATGAAGAAGAAGACGACGGCGACGGTGACGACTACGATGATGATGATGACAATAATGATGATGACGACGATGATGATGATGAAAATAACGATAATTGATGATGATGGTATTTGGCAGGGGCGGATCCAGCCTGAGTCCGGTATAAAAGAGGGTGCATGTTTGTGCAATCTGAGTTAAGAGTCTCAGGAAAGAACCTGTTGTATGGGTGCAAGCGGCAAATCTCCCTTAAACCACTATCATCTTCATTAATTTGAGGTTGTATTTGATTGATTTTTACTCTTTAGCATGGTAATTTTCTGATAATCTTTACAAAACAATTTTTTAGAGGGAGCACCACCATCACTGATTGTGATGGTCGGAGTTTGACTTAAAAATGACGGGTTTTAAGATAATATTGATGATGATGGTATAATTTCAAAAATTACAATTCTAAAAATAATTCTACGAGTACAATATTCCATAAAATTTAATTTATTCACTCATACTTTATTACAACATTTAAAAATATTTTACATCATGACAGAAGTAGGCCTATATCATACAATATAATGCATCGGTGATAGCACATGGTATCATCAAAGTTGAGGTAAATATGTTCGAATATGCCTAATGTTTAAAAATGCATTTTTTCAAATACAAAGTAGCAATTTTTCGTTTTACTGTAGGCATAGATTAGGACTAAGGCTATGTTATAAGTTCTTTCTGGAAACTGGATTATTTGATAGAAATTTGACCTATTGCTGCAACTGTGAATCCGAGGACATACCGAGATATTTCATTAACTCATTCATGTCCATGTTGTTAAAATCGGGAACAAAAGAATTTGTCTGGGACATGCCGTTCAGCGTCAAGTCTTGTCCCATCATATCGGCGCCCATTTTATTAAAATCTTGTCCGTTGTTCATCTCTTCACCGGCCTCAAGATACTTCTGCCAGTCAACATCTTCAAAGCTCTGTCCGGCTGATGGCACGAGTCCATTATTAGAGAATTCTTCCATGGCTTTTGCAGCTATTTCATTTGGATCAAGTCCGGCGTATTGCTCGACGATTTTTTGCCAATATGCAGAACTGAAGTTGTCATAAACGCTGGTGCCTGTGTCCGATTCTTGTTTCATCACAGGAAGTGCAGACGATACGACGACAGCCGCAAAGAAGACCACCAATGAAATCATTCTGTTAAAAAGTAACATTTTTGAAATTAAAATCAAACATAAAATTGAACATTTTTTTGAAGAGACAGCAACAGCACTCGCTATTCGATTTCATTGGGAAATATGGTAAATTTCATCGGAGTATAGAACTGCAAAAGGCTCGACAACCCTGATTTTTTTATGCACACAATTAAACGTTAAAAAAGTACTACCACGAGATAAGGGGCGCCCTATACAGTTCGAAAATTCGCTTTTGAAGGAAGCCCTCTAGTTCGTGGTAATACTTTTTGAGATAGGATTGCGTTCCAAGGAAACCCAGAGATAGACCTCTTGCAGTTCTATACTCTATGATTTCATACGAATGAGCTTTCATTGGCAATGAGCGGTGAAATTTATGTGATAAGTTTATCAAATGTTTTTTTTTAAGTAGGACAAGAAAACATATACCTCAACAAATTATTAACAGATTTCATTTTTAATAAATTTTTTCTTGGTAAAGGCCTTTTGTATATTAATATGGTTTTTCACAGATAAGTTTGGCACAGATAGTACAGGACTCCTTTTACAATATGAATTCAAATAAATTGGAAATTTCATAGTTTCACTACACATGGTCTAAACACAGTTAATGTCAGGCTCCGGAGGCAAAAAATGTTAATATGTTGTAAAACTGAATTTTTAAAAGACATAAAAGGGTGTTAAATAGGTATTTAAAAACTGGTGGTAAGAGGCAGAGCCACCCATTTTCCACTCCCCCCCCCCCCCCCCCCCCCCTTCAGTTTTTAGATATCCAAAATTCTGTACCGGTATATCATTAACCGTTCCAGATTTTTTTTTTTTGGTCAAAATAAGTTTTATATACACAAAAGTTTTCTTCCGGACCCTGGCATTAAGCAGTTCAACTTTGTCTTTAGTGCCTAATAATATTAGGCGTATGTAGGCCTACTAACAAGTTTAAAGGGCGCGGGACGACTCCCCCCTCCCCACCCCACCACTATGTAGCGATTGTTCTTGTTTGACTAAAATAACACAAAATTTATCAAAATAATCGGTAAACTTACGTTTTAGAAGCTAGAATAAACTAAATACTGCAAGATGAATGTCTGAAAATGCTGGAATAAGCTGAAGAAAGATGAACCGTTACCAATGCCCTCCTCTATTCTTACGAATTTTGCAGGTTTGATACTTCTTGCCGAAGTGCAGGCGCATTAAATAGACTGAGTTTTCAGGCGTCTAATTCCGACCAATGAGATTTTAGCGCGATGACCTCATTTCTATACATCTGATACTGCCTGTCTCCAAAAACAGGAAGTGGGGTACCATAAATAAATTATAATAGCATCCAGGGTATAATTGTTTGACGGTAAATTCCAGATTAATTGAATTCAACAGTAGCGTCCTTTTTACCATTTATTTATTCTGTTCATATAAGAAAGTTTAACCAAGGATATTAGGCATATATATATATATATATATATATATATATATATATATATATTTTTTTTTGTCTTTTGTGTTATTATTTCAC